GCTTACTTTGACTGAATTGTGTAGATATGTGCTTTTACATTGAATTATTCAAACTTACATATTGCACCTGACAAGTAGTCATACTGCCAACCATAATATAAGATGTACAGGTATGGCTTTCCCTACAGGTTTGAATAGTCTCACCTTTAAATACTAAGCAGCTACTTAATCTGATGGCTGTGTTATTATGTAAATTAGGATTGTCTTCTCTTCTCCTTAAACCTGAATGAATTACATCAGCTTTGTTAGCTAATGAAATTATTATTATTTTATTATACAGTATTTATAAAGCGCCGATAGTTCACTCAGCGCTGTACATTACATGCAGGTAAACTACTGAATGATACTAAACATCATCTAGAGCAGCCACATAACCTGTGTAATACATATGGTTAGGTTTAAAGGGATGAGGTGGCAGCCCTACTGACATTAGTAATAGAACTCTGCAGATTTTGGAGTATGGCCACATATGTTCATTCCAGTAATTTGGCCACCAAATGACCAGATCATTAAGGGGATAAAAGAATAATTGGACTACGGGCAAATACACAAAGTCTATTGTGTAAGGGGTTTTCCATCCTGCATGATCGCAATCCAAGTGGATGACAACTAATAATAGATACAAACTATATGAATCTTAACAGACAGCTAAACTTGTCATCAGTTGGGGGAGTTAATTGAAAGTATACAAAGAGATGTACAATAAAGCAAAGCAATACTACATAGCAAAATTCAGTAAGTGCAATTGGCAGAGCAGAAAGTATGGGATCCTGAGGATCAGTATGGCAGCTGAGCAATCAGTGTTTTCACAGATCAGAAAAGGCAACATGCGTATTTCTTTGAGTACAGGGTTCCTTTAAGGCCTGGCAATCATTTTACTGGTTTTTTTTAAACATGTGACGACAAATACAACTGCTGACTTGTTTTTATAGGGACAGGCACAGGAGCTGCACTTGCATCAAAAAAAAAGCACCTTGTGCAGCAAGCATAGTGATTACATGCAACCAGTAAAGACAGTCTGAATCTAAGTCCTCATGCACACTTGATGATGTTTTTACAGCTGGGTTTGAAGCCAAAAAAGGCTTTTGACATTTTTCCTACAGCCAGTAAACCCCCCAGCATATTATCCTATGTGTCCATGCACACATACACTGTAATCAGCGTGTTTTGGCTAAGACGTTTTTTTGGCTGGAAAAAAACCCAGGACTAGTGGGTTTCTAGAGGAGTTTTTTAGCTGTAAAAATGCTCTAACATTGAAAAATGTGGCAAAACACCACACAACTGAGTTTTTGGACTTTTTGTGAACAAAAAAAAGCTAAAAAGCGCAAATGCGGGAAAACGCCACTAAACACAGCAAAATCGCTAAAAAAAGCTGAAAAACTCACATTTTTAACATGACGTTACACAGCTAATGTTACCAGCATTGTCAAAACGCCCTGTGTGCATGAGGGCTAAACCATGAATTGCTGATCCATCTGCAATTCACTAGGTAGTGATTCCATAATAGGGTTGTTAGCAACCTCCTTAGTGTTTTTTATAGGTTAAAGTAGCAAAAACAGTGATGGGCAACCTACCATAGCAACTGATTGGGTTATCACACTGACAAAATCAGGATCATATATGAGGGTGATTACATTACCATACTATCTGAACATGTTTGCAGAGGTAAAACCAAGCACCGACACATAGGTTTTCTGAGTCAAAAGAGGAACAAAACTGCTATGGTTCACAGAGAGCGAGAATCAGAACCAAGTTGTACAGAATGAGTGGGCAACCAGTGAGTACATAGTACACAAAGCCACCAACCAAACTTCAAAGGCTACGCAGGAGCAGTATTGCTGTCCTAGTAAGACCAAACAAATTCACGCTAGGAGTAAAAATAACTGCAAGTGCTAATGTAAACCACTATCAAGTGTATAAATACTGGTGCTGCTGCTCAAGACTAAGCCACTAACAATTACATTCACATTATAAAACAGCACCCTGTCCTAGGCCAAGGCTTATGAAGAAATGCAGCCTTGGTTGGAATAACCAGTAAAACCAACAATAATTCATTTAGTGTGAATGAGACCTTACTTGGCATGCTCAGGAGACCAGGATGATATAGTACTGGTATTGGGTTGGATAACGGAAATACAGGCATACCTCGGTTAACATAATTTTTGGTTTACGAATGAAAATCCATTGAAAATAATGCCTCGGTTTACAATTTTTTTCCGCAATATGAACGAATAATTGATTTTCAATGCATTTACAATTTTTTTTTTTAACCGTTGCACAGGACACGGCCGATGACAGATCTGTGTACCAGCCCCATTGCCAGTACCATGTGACCTGCTGTGACCAATCACAGCAGGTCGCATGACAGTTGTATACAATGGATGGCTTCCTTTCATGCCATCCATTGTATACAAGTGTGTCTAGCTGTGAATGGTCACAGTGATCACATGCACAAGCTGTCCAATCACAGCTCAGCTGTGTCATGTGATTAGCCGTGGCCAAATCAAAGCTTATCACAAAAAAAAAACCTGAATGAATTGATTTCATTCAGGTAAATGCTTGCTTATAGCAAAGTAATTCTTTGCTATAAGCAAATTGTGTAAAAAAAAAAAAAAATACTGATCACTTCCCCAAAGTAGTACAATGTTACTATAGTAACATTATACTACTTTGGTCATAGTGAAATATAAAGAACAAATCTTAAAAAAAGAGAAAAAAATTAAAAATAATAACAAAAATAAAAAACTATCAATTTTTTCTTACTGTCACCAGTCAGATCACCGCCATGCCAGTTATATGATGACGCTGTACGGCACTGGTGACAGTATGTAAAAAAAAAAATTGTGAAAATCATTTTTTTAATTTTTTTCAATTTCAAAAAAATTATGACAAAAACATTACAACTTCAAAAAACTCGCCATTCCTCTTATGAAGTACGACGGACTGTCTACTTTGCAAAAAGGGGTCCTTTGGGGGATATCTGTACTGTTCTGACATTCTTGGACCTCAAGAAATTAGATTGGCTGTCAGTACTTCAGGACTGATCAATTTTCAGAAATATCCCATAGTTTGTGAACTCTATAACTTTCCTACAGACTAAATAATAAATACTAATTTGGGTTATTTTCACCAAAGAAATGTAGCAGAATACATCTTGGCCTAAATTTATGAAAAACAATTATTTATTTGCAAACTTTTATAACAGAAACAAAGAAAAACTTTTTTTTTATCAAAGTTTTTGGTCTTTTTTTGTTAATTTAGAAAAAAATAAAAACCTCAGTGGTGATTAAATACCACCAAACGAAAGCTCTAGTTGTGTGAAGAAAATTATAAATTTTTAGTTTGGATACAGTGTTATATGACCGCGCAATTGTCATTCAAAGTGTGAGAGTGCTGAAAATTGGCCTGGGCAGGAAGGGGGTAAAAGTGCCTGGTATGGAAGTGGTTAATCATGTCCCTTTATAGTACTATGCCTTTTAAAGTGCACTTTATAAAGAGTTTTGAACAGATAAAATACATTTTTTTTTTTTTTACTTTTTTTCTGACCTCCGGAATGGATTAATTGGTTTTCAATGCATTCCTATGGGAAACTGCGTTTCAGTTTACAAATTTTTTGCAATACGAAAAGTCCCGCAGAACGCATTAAATTCATAAACCGAGGTATGTTTGTACTTATTTTCTGGTATATCTTACATACAAAGTCTCCTGATGATATAAGTTGGAAAGGCACAGTTTGAAAATGGGTAACTTAGAACAATGTAGGAGTATCAATTGTATTGAAAATGTAGGTCTGTATTTGTGCTCTTCACCTCTCAAGTGCAGGTTTATTGGTCTCTGGATTTTTTTTTTTTTTTTTTTCACAAAATTTTTATTAGTTTTTTAAAAGTATAACAACAAAACAATAGGAAAGATAATAGCATTCAATTACTTATTAACATCTCAGCAGGTTGGTCTTCAGAGTTGATATTTGCATATCTCTAATGAGGTAGGAAACGTTTCTGATGAAGCCTGAAGGTCAGCGTCTCATGCTTCATTTCATGGGACATCAATAATGATGACCAGTGGATGAGTTTATGGGGTGATAAAGAGATATTCTAATGACATTTTGCATATGGAAAGCTCTAGACTAGAGAATTACCTGATTCTTATGAAAGCACTGAATATTTGTGCTATGCACTATAAAGCTTGACCTGAATGATAGTGACAGTAAGCCCTCATGCACACTGCACACACGTTTTGTTAACGCTGGTAATGTTGGCTGTGTAAAGTCACATTAAAAACGTGAGTTTTTCAGCTTTTTTACATTTTTGCATTAGTGTTTAGCGCCTTTTTCTGCGTTTACGTTTTTTTTTTGGTCAAAAAGAGTCCAAAAATGTCGGTTTGCGGCGTTTTTTAGCATTTTTACAGCTAAAAAACTCCTTTAGTCCTGGTTTTTTTTCTAGCCAAAAAAAGCTGATTATAGTCTGTGCATGGACACATAGGATAACATACTGGGGGGTTTACTAGCTGTAGAAAAAAACGTCAAAAGCCAAAAACAGCAGCTGTAAAAACGTCCAGTGTGCATGAGGACTTTGGATGAGGTTTGTATCTTAATTTGTGTAAATATCTTTGTAGCTGCAGTCGGGATATAACATAGTCTTTATGTAGCCATGTATCTTACATTGACGTACTGCAGACTGAGCTGAATGATGCAAAGTGCTGAAATCGTTAATGCTCCTGAGCTCATTACACCTGTTTGCAGCATGGCTTTTGGCAGAAAAATCCTCTGGGAATTTACTGATATGATACACTGCCAATGATTTTTCTTTTCCATATCTCTGCAATATATTTTGAAATTGCTTGTCCTCTGTGGCTACAATAGCTTGTGTAATTATTGTACATGTTATTTACCTCCTTTGTTGTATTTAGTCAGCTTTCTTTGTACAAAATCATAGTCAACTGCATGGTATAGTGTTTGGTGTTTTGCACCTACAGAAAGTACATGCCTTGGTCCATTCACAATGGGGGATCAAGACGCCATGACAGAAGTGCCTGCTGCCCTGAAAAGACTTGCCAAGTATATGGTCCGAGGGTTCTATGGCCTTGAGTACTCCCTGACACTGGATGTGCTCATCAGATACCCCTGTGTCAAGGAAGAGGACATTGCCCTGCTCCTCAAGTTTGAAAAGAAGCAGCTTCGAACCATCCTGCAAACCCTGAAGTCTGACAAATTTATCAAGTGTCGTATGCGTATCCAGACTGGACCAAATGGGAAGAGCACCAAACACAATTATTACTACATCAACTACAAGGTGCTTGTAGATGTTATTAAATATAAACTTGACCACGTTCGTCGCAAGATCGAGTCAGATGAGAGGGAGTCCACCAACAGAGCTTCATTTAAGTGCCCTGGATGTCACAGCACCTACTCTGACCTCGAAGTCAACCAACTATTTGACCCATTTACAGGTATGAGTTATGAGTCCAACCTGAAGTCTGGTTCTGTAATTAGTCTGTGTAAAAACTGAAAATTGGGGGTTTAAAAAGTTGTCAGGTGATTAGAAATGGTTAGGAGCCAATAGAGCTAAAACATAATCTGATTTGTATACAGGGATCTACTGTATTTACCACAAGGTAGTTCTGGGACAGATCCTAGATTAGCAGAGTAAAAAAAGATCAAAATAGAGCGCAAGTACTGGTCCTGGGCATTTAAGACTCTCTGTAGCTCAAGCAATATACAGCTACTTGGTTGGTGGGCTGCACAAAATACAGGGAGCTCCACCTATAAAGCCGACGTATCAATTTGTACAGTTGTGATGGAGTATATAAAGTTATTATAGACAAAACAGTCAGTATGAGTGGTCACCACTGGCAATCTCTCTGTTTCTCTCAGTAAAGCGTAGCACCATTTCTGATGTTTGTAGAATAGAAACATTTCAATTTGAGAATACAGAAGGTGCTTTGTGATACAGCTACAGAATATTGTGTTCAAAGAACCATGAAGGAAAACGTAAAGTAAACCTTTCCATATAAGACTGAAAAAATAAGAGAAACCTCAGAAGTCCTTCTATGCATACTCTTGGTTCTTGGCTTTATATACACAAGTCAAAGGGTCTGCATGACAGCTAGGCAACTAGCACTTACAGAATGTGAGATCCTCATGTTTCCCTCGGTAAAGTGTTTTTTTATGTCTGTAAACCCTAACCTTGATCCAGTTGGTCTGTTTAAATACACTATTTAAAGTGCTTTGTTATTTCTGTTCAATAAGTAGAAAAAATACCTGTTTGATCATGTCAGAAATTCAAAGCTATCCTGTGCACACATCCTGCTTATTACAAAAAGCCTACATAGCCCGCTCAGTTTTTTTTTTTTTTTTTTTTTTTTTCAAATCAGAAAATATTTATTGAACAAAAAAGAGAGAGGACAGAATGATTACAAACAATGCCCACAACTACACGAGTGTTCCCAGAGCATTCAGCAGGTTATGTCAATATTGCATATGTGAAAGTTACCAACTCAAAGATGTCCTTCTCAATATAGCACATATCAAGAGCAACATTTCTAAACCTTGACAGAGCCGTTCCAGATAACAGCAGTAGTGCCTTACATTGGGTATAAAAACATTGAACAATGAGGTTAAGGCACTAATACATGCCCAAAATTCTGTCCATGACAAGATCTACAGGAGTCAAGCCCGGTACTGCTAGCCAGTCTCCCCAGATCTTATCAAACTTCCCTGGGAAACCTTCGTGTCCCTATAGGTCAGGGTATTGGTCATACTTCAGTATTGCAAAATAAGCCTCCTGGCCTGATACAGGATCCTATTTATAGTCCGTTAGGGCATAGCCATCTAAAATACCTAATACGCAACATTTCAGCTCTAAAGGGATGGTAGTTTGAAAAACCCAATTTTTAGTATCCACTATCTCTGCCCAATAATGATGAAGTTTTTAGGGCAGCACCACAGCAAGTGGATGAGGTCGCCTTGAGCTGTAATACATTTGACACACAATGGGGACTATAAGGTTTCCATTTGGTACAATTTCAAAGGTGTGAAACGGAAAAATGTAAAGCTGTGATAGCCTTTGGGTAGTATTAAGAGAACAGGACAACACAGACTCCAACACACTGCCCAACTGTCCATCTTCAAAATTGCCAACATCCTGTTCCCATGTGTCTTTAGATTAACATGGATGTCCCTCCAAATAGGACAGGCGTCAACTATTTCATAGCACTGGGAAATAAAGCCTTTAGTTTCCGACACCAACTGGACATAACTAAATACAGGTGTTGTAGAGAGACTCATGGAACCTCGTGTGCTAACTGCATGTTGGAACAGAAGGTAATAAAATTGCACAGAGGTAGGGAGATTGTTTGGAACATAGCTCTGCAAATGAGCGTAGGGAGCATTCACAGAAAATATGCCGAAAAATGGGTAATGCCCCATCGCCTCCATGTCCCTGTGTAAGCTAACTGCTCAGGTCATATCTTGAACTACAAACAAATTAGTCCATATGTTGTGGAGATGGGGACAGCGGAGGTGGTTCAGTAGTTTAGCAAAATGTAACTGGGCAGGGCTGACACAATTCAGTCCACAAAAATGCTCTGTGCTGTCACCCCATAATACAAAGTTAGGAGCGGAGTGCATTTCTGACAGGTGAGTAGATGTTATTCTGTAGGGTTTTTAAAGGAATAATATATGGTAACTGCACATGTTTTGCATAAATGGACTGTATAATGTATTTTGTCCCTATTCTTTATTCTACACATAACTCAGATGCTCCCTACTTTTTAGTGTATTTCACTTCTACAAAATTCACTTAATTCACTTTTAACATCACTTTTAATGTAACTATATAAAACAGGTAATAAATAAAAATCTGAATGTACAGTACATGATATATTTGACTTGCAAGGTAGTTGTTTTGTATTGATCATAAGCACTATTTATGTAAATCTACAGATATTAGAGACCACTCATAATTGGAAGTCAGACAGTGCAGTCAGCATTCTACTAAAAGTAGAACTAAAGCCCAAACCTTTTTTTTTTTCATCTTCGATAAGGGAGGGTTATAACCTCTATCAGTTTTTTGTTTTTTTTTTTTTTTTTTGTACCATCTGTGTCCTATTGGGAAAATTTCCCTTTACTTCCTGTCCCATAGCCACAACAGGAAGTGGGAAGACATCTCTCTGAAGTGAGGGAAATCCTTGGTTTTCACCACAACTAGTGTTCCCATTGGAAGATTACCTCTCCTACTTCCTGTTGCTAATGGGGACACAGACAGCAATGGAAACCTGACAGGTGTTCTAATCTCTCTCCACTCCATCTAAAACAAAAAGTGCCATTAACCTCTTCCCTACCGTGCTATAGCCAAAAGACGGCTACAGCGCGGTTGTCTAGTTCTGGGAGGACATCCATGGATGTTCTCCCAGAACACACCCCCAGCTCTGCTGGTGATCTCTGTGTCCTACGGACACAGCTGATCACGTGACACGGTAAGTGGCCAATCACAGTGGCCTTTTAACATGTGATCAGCTGTGTCCAATGACACAGCAGATCACCAGGTAAATACAGTTGCCAGTTATCGGCTGCACATTCCCCATGCTGTCACAGCGTAAGGAAAGTGCTGCCGATAATCGGCAATTGTCGGCAATTGTCAGAGAATTGCCGCCTATCAGTGCAGCCTCCTCAATGCACATCAGTGAAGGATAAAAAAAATAACTTGTTTGAAAAATTTTATAACAGAAACAAAGAAAACCTTTTTTTTTTTTTTTTAATTTTTTGCTCTTTTTTTTAGTTTATAGCGCAAAAAATAAAATGCCCAGTAGTGATTAAATACCACCAAAAGAAAGCTCTATTTGTGTGAAAAAAAATTATAAAAATTTCATATGGGTACAGTGATGCAGGCTCCAACACCTTTTTAAGTGAGTCCAGCCCCTTGCCAAGCCTCCTGTTGGGAATTGGCTGAGGTCCCTCAAAAGTGGAGCCAACCACTCCTCAGATCCACCCACTGCCTCCAAAGCCCTCCGCTGAAAGCCTCAGAGCAGGGGGAAATTCCAGAGGGGCTGGTCTGCAGAGTCTCTCAGGCCTGATCAGAACTGGACCCCTCTGATTATCTCACCTGAGCTGCTAATCAACACCTAACTAGCCATCAGGGTCTAGCTCCACCTTAGATAAACTAAGAAGGAGCTATAGTACAGTCATGGCCAAAAATATTGGCACCCCTGTATTTCTGTCAGATAATGCACCACTTCCCCAGAAAATGTTTGCAATTACAAATGTTTAGGCATTCTTATGTTTATTTATTTTGTTTGTATTGATACGACTCAAAAAAAGTGGAGAAACAAAAAGCCAAATCTGACACATTCCACAGAAAACCCCAAAAATTGACTGGACAGAATTATTGGCACCTCAATTTAATATTTGTTAGCACACCCCTTGGAAAAAATAATTGCAATCAATCACTTCCTGTAACCATCAATGAGTTCCTTACACTTCTCTACTGAAATTTTGGACCACTCTTCTTTCGCCAACTGTTCCATGTCTCAGAATCGAAGGGTTCCTTCTCCCAACTGCTGTTTTGAGATCTCTCCACATATGCTCTATGGGATTGAGATCTGGACTAATTGCTGACTAGTTCAGTACTCTCCAGCGCTTTGTCTGAAACCGTTTCTGGGTGCTTTTGATGTGTGCTTTGGGTCATTGTCCTGCTGTAAGACCCATGATCTCTGACAGAAACCCAACTTTCTAACACTGCACCCCAGAATTCTTTGGTAGTCATCAGATTTCATAATGCCATGCACATGGTTAAGACATCCATTGCCTGAATCAGCAAAGAAACCCAACATCAGTAAACCTCTACCATGTTTGACTGTAGAGACTGTATTTTTTTCTTTAACCACTTGCCCTCCAGAGGTTTTACACCCCCCCCCCCCTCCTGACGAGGCCATTTTTTGCGTTACGGCACTGCGTTACTTTAACTGATAATTGCTCGGTCATACAACGCTGCACCCAAATGAATTTTGCATCCTTTTTCCCCATGTATTGAGCTTTCTTTCGGTAGTATTTGATCGCCTGACCGACAATTTTGAGAAAAAAAAAGAAATATTTTTGACTTTTTGCTATTAAACGTCCAGTAAAAAAATTTTAAAAATCAAATTTCATCATAAATTTAAGCCAAAATGTATTCTGCTACTTGTCTTTGCTAAAAAAAATCCCAATACATGTAAATTAATTGGTTTGTGTGAAAGTTATAGCATCTACAAATGGTGATCTAGATACTGGAATTTTTTTTTTTTTAATTTTTACCAGTAATGGCGGCAATCAGCAACTTATAGCGGGACTGCGGGGGGCATTCTGACACTGCCCAGTGATACCAATACAGTGATCAGTGCTAAAAAAAAAAAAAAAAAGCACTGACACTGTACTAATGGCACTGGGCAGGAAGGGGTAACATTTGGGGCGATCAAAGGGTTAACTGCGCGCTGGAAGTGTTTCACTAGGGGGCTGTGTCAGTATACTTCACTGTAATCGCACTGCTTTGGATGGCTGTGGTGTGCATGAGAATGCCTAAACATTTGTAATATGCAACAATTTTCTGGGCGAAGTGGTATATTATTTGACAGAAATGCAGAGGTGCCAATATTTTTGGCCATGACTGTAGATACAATGTATGCCACAGTTAAAATATGCTGAGATACATTAAAATACATGCAATTATGGCCATGAATGGCGCATTAGTGAACACATACCAATACATTTTACATTGTTTCACAGTTAGCCTGTGTGTTTCCCCCACTTTTGCTGATTGCCCATCTCTTTATCATTTATAAACTGGGTGTTTCCCAAAGTGTTACATGATGATGTGACACATATGCATGGATAAGACAGAGCAAAGACAGTGGCATACATTGTATACAATATATGTTCGGGCACCTGTAAAGTCCCATATATGCTTGGTTTTCTATTCTCTTTCTCTCCTATATGTGATCTGGGCAATTTTATAAAGTTTTGACTGAAGCTGGCTATAATAAGGTCTTCCTTGTTTCATTTGCAGAACTCTTTCGCTGTACCTACTGCAATCAAGAAGTTGAGGAGGATTTTTCATCACTACCCAAAAGAGATGCCAGAACACTACTCGCTAAATTCAATGAGCAGATAGAACCAATTTTTCTGCTTCTTCGGGAAACAGAAGACATTGTCCTTCCAAGTGAGCTGCTCGAGCCTCAGCCAACTGAGATTCCAGAACTTGCTGACAGGTCAGTGTTTGAGGGTGTTAGGACTGGTTCAGTCAGGCTTCTGGGCTCAGTCTCAGCCCATGGCAGTTTGTTAGGAATAGGAGAGAGATACAAACATTCTCAGCATGTTGGCATTTATATAAATCTGCTGCCCACTGCAATACAAAACACCAATGTTGTGTAACCTGCATAAAAAAAAATGAATTTTTTCTTTCCCTGAAATTCAGCTTTAAAATCACAGAATTTTTATGACTACCTTTTCCATGGATGAACCTTTCAGACTTAGTAGAAAAGTTTCTCAGGAAATAAGTAAGAGTTCTCTGAAATTTAGTAAGGGTCTATAGGTTGATGGACTTTTGTTCGCTTGAAATAGGTTTGGCATTTCCATACAAGTCTAGTGCTACTCTTGTAGGAGCCACAGAAATGCTGTCCAGGTCTTCCCTAAAAGCTTTGCCCTGCAGCCAGGCACATAGGCTCATTCATACGTTTCTTCAATGAGCAGTCTAGGGGTGTGTTCTATTTTTGGAGAACTTGGATAGGGATGAGGAAATTATGTGGAATACTCCAAAAACAGAAACTATGTACTGTTGAGGACTTAAGTATTCTTTTCGATAAGCTATGGCAAAGCCTGTGCTTGAAACAAACAGTAGACTTCAGCTTAGAGAGCAGCAGCAGCAGCAGCAGCAGCAGCCCCCCCCCCCCCCTTCAAGTAAGAGATTAAATGGACAGAACTCTCCAGAACAGAAGCTGATGCCCCCTTTAGCAAGACCCGCAGCTGATACCCTAGCACCAGAGGGGTTTTAGCAGCACAAAATCTCTAAGATCCTTTAGAGCCATGTTTCTCAAGTAGTGGGTCGCAACCAGGGGCAGACTGGACCGTGGGGCAAGTGCCCCCCAGGCCTCTCTAATGCCCCAATAAAATGTCCGGTGACCTGACAATGTAGCTTAATAAAAACTGCTGGCTGCATTAATATACATGTTAATATGGCTGGAACTGCAACTACTACCAACCTTAATATTTGTATTATTGGGGCCAGCCGGTCCCATTAAGGTGGTGTGCACAGTGCACTTACAAAGCGGTCCCGCAGCCCTCGTGTTCATTCCTCCTTTCTCCGCGGCAGCACTGGGAGGAAGTGATATATAACTACGCTTCCAGCCAGCCGCGCCGGAGGGAAGAAAAGCACCACTGTACTCCAGGGAATGACTCCGCTAGGTACTTTTCATGGGTTGTGGATGGGTGTTGGAGAGAGCATTATGAAAGGAGTGAAAGAAAACAGGAAAGTGATGGTGATGGGGGTGGGGACTGAAAGTGTGCATAAAAGGGGAGGACTGAAGGAAACCATGAAAGGGGAGGGCATGAAAAGTGGGTCAAGGTGGGTATTAAAGTAGGGTGTAAAAGGGGGATAAGGAAAGAGCATAAAAGGGGAAAGGAAGGGGGGGGCATGAAAGGGTGGGCTAAAGCAAGGCATGGAAAGGGGGATTCAAGGAGTGCATGAAATGGGGGGGGGACTGAAAACCCTCACACAAATATTGCACAAACTATTTTGTTTATTTAAAAGCCACTGAAGACATTAATACGGTTAACTTTGTGTGCCTTTTTAGAGTGAGCGGTAGAGGAGGTATTGCTCAGCTTAATGGGCTATTAGCGTGAGGTAGAGGGGACTTTGCTTAAAGTTAGGAGGTATTGGTGGATGTTTGTTATTTTATGTATGCATAAAATAATTATTTATTTTAAAAGTCTAAACAAGTGTTTTATTATGTAAAATTATGTACATTGTAGAATACGGCACAAGTTGTTTTGTGGAATAAATTATAATGTTTTGGAAATTAAATTATTTTTGGGTCACGACTTCATGACCAAGGAAAAATGTGGGTCCTGAGGTTCCATAGGTAGAGAGCCACTGCTTTACAGTTGTCTGTACCCACAAGGCCCAAGGACAGATGGTTGTCTTCCTTCATATCATCACGCCAGATCTTTAGTAGACGGCTCTTCATTCAGCTCTAGCAGAACCTGGGTCTCAGCATTCAGGCCTTCAGGACACCTACCTGAGGCCTACGGCAGTAGATACAGCAACATTGCCTGGGAGGGGAGCATCCCCTTTCCAGGCTGGACCAATCCTATACTGGAAAGACCTAGAACTCAGTGTGCTCACTGAATATATACAGTTATCCAGAATGCCATCAGAGGCTCTTTTCTCTGGGATAGGCCAGGGCTGTATCAATATTCATGCTGCTATCTGCATAGCTCCACACCTATCATCCAGAAACTTCTCAAGCTTTCTGGATGCAAAGGGAGCTATCAGGTTGGCAGCAGTTGAACATACTGAACAGACCTAACTAGCAGAACACAGCGGCGCTGATTACAGTGTGCAAGTTATGCTTTTACCTAACAACAATTACAACCTCACCGACTACAGTGTGACATGATTTACCTCAAAACACAACTAAATCCTATCTATCTAAACCTAGCACCTATCTAGGAGGGTGCTACACAAGTCTTGGGGAATGTAAAACCTTTTTAAAGTAAGGCGAATGCACCTGTTTATGAATTCTGAAGGATCTCCGATGTCTCAAACTGATGCCATTGACACAAGCCCAAAGCCCTTTGACAGGCTTTGACTTGCTGTACAATTTTAGTGCTACACCTAGAGGCACCGCTGAATTGTTCTGGGATTTCTCTGCTCACCTGAAGATAACATACCTTGCTCACCCAGCACTTATAAACACACCTCTATCCCAACAGGCATGAATGAGACTGCCTGCACATGAATGCAAGGAACACCTGTGCATCCCGTACAGACAAAGATGGCCCCTCGCATGGGTGTACAGATATGTACACCCCTGTGAATGAGGCCTAATGCGTGCTGATGCTAGCAATATACCAGAGGCAGATGATGTCACTGAGAAGTATGCTCTTTTGGCTCTACTTCTCCTGTGTGTCAAAGAAGTGCACTTAGTTCTGCAAAGTTCAGCTAAAGTCCGCTGTTGCCTCAGCTGGTCCAGACTCCGGAGAGATCCTGACTTTAATGTCGCAATCCACCCAGATCCCTGGACTGGCAGCTGGCTCAGCCTCTCAGTGCACCTCTGAGCCAGCCGATCCCACCACCCTCCAAAGCCTGGCATCTCAGTGAGCGCTGGAGGGGCAGAGCAGAAAGCCAGTGCCTGACAGTCACCGGCACTTTGCTCCGTGAATACCAAGAACTAAGGGGCAGATGATGTCACTGAGGACTCGTAGAGAGCAAGGAATTTTGTTTTTCATTAGGCCTCAACATATATGCCTATGTGTACATAACTATTTAGTGGGAAGCTGAAACATATATAAATATATATCTGTTTTACTTATAAAGGATTTTTTATTTCTGTTCATCCAGTCCTGATTTTTTTATTTTTTTTATAGCCCTATAGCACAGCCAGCCAGGTAACCTGAATTTGTTCTGTGATTAAGCAATGCAGCCAGGTCATCACCATGTAGCAACAGACTTATAAGGCCGCGTCTTTGCTTTCCACTTCCATCAGCACATTAGAATACAGCTCACTTGATTGGTTCCAAGTGCTTCCCCTCTTTCTCTCTTTTACAGAATCTCCTGAAGGGACGGTTACAGAAAGCTTAAATTTGGGTAAATTTCAGGTGTAGTTGTGTCTAAAATGCATTTCATTTATTTTAATTAAAGGAGAAGTAGGATGTATGTTCTTTTGGCTCTACGTCTCCTGTGTGTCAAAGAAGTGCACTTAGTTCTGCAAAGTTCAGTTAAACTCCGCTGTTGCCTGATGTCACTCAGCTGGTTCAGACTCTGGAGAGATCCTGACTTTAATGTCGGGATGCACCCAGATCCCTGGACCAGCAGCTGGCTCAGACTCTCAACTCACCTCTGAGAGCCTGAGCCAGCCGCTCCCACCCACCCCCACAGCCCAACACCTCAGTGAGCACTGGAGGGGCAGAGCAGAAAGCTGGTGCCGGAAATCACCGGCTCTCTTCTCTGTGAATACCAAGAACTAAGCAATCCATGGTCTTTGATCATTTAGTTCTCAATGTAGAGGCAGCAGGGGACAGATGCAGCATCAGATTGATGCTGCATCCACCTATGTGAGTATATGTGTGGGGGTTTTTTTTTGTTTTTTTTTTTAGTTTCCAAACTTCTCTTTTAAATGCATGCCTGCATTAAGTTGTGTATTTTTTTTAACTTACCTTCTGCTTTAACTGTTGGCCATCTGTGTTATTATTGATCTTTGTAAGTCTAATCTACTGTCAACAGCAGAGCTAAACTTCATGTGTGTCCAAATGCTGATAAACGTTTAGGAGACTTAATCCTTGATCAGACATATAATACAGACTTATATACTCCAGCTATGAACAGGCTGCCGCCATTGCCGCTATGGACCTACAGGGATGCCAGGGAAGATGGGCCAACAAAAGCTCATCTATGGGTAACATGTATGTCCAGAATATTACCATTAATGTTCGCGAACCAGAACTGAAAAAGATCAAGGAAAAGAAGGGGAAGGAGCAGCCGGTCTGGATGAAAATTAGTACAGTGCATGAAGTCGTTCCAGAAATAAGTGCCAGTTGCAGTGAGTATTGGAGAAAGATGTTGGGTGAAGAACTGGTGGAAGGGAACCACACTTTGATATGGTGTAAGGATTGGGTAAAACTGGAATCTGGAGTGATCTTTCCCACTGATTTTATCATATGAATTGGACCTAGGAAAGTAAGTGCACATTTCAAAAGGTTTAAGGATATGCAGTGACACATAACAAATGCACTGGGTGGAGGGGGGAGATTTGTCAAGCAAAGCATGGACTAAATCATCTACCTATCCCACAGGAATTGAGGATTTTCTTTTAGTACAGAGTCTGCAAACTGCATTGCATTTGTGACCCTTGTGCCTGAAATCACAGAGACTAAATTCAGTATTTGTTCCAAATCTATCATTTCATATTCAATGGTTATTAACAATAACAGAGACATATGGGCATGAATTATATACAGTGAAGGAAATACGTATTTGATACCCTGCTGATTTTGAATGTTTGCCCACTCACAAAGAAATTATCAGTTTAAAAATCAAATGGTAGGTGTATTGTAACACTGAGAGACAGAATAGCAACAAAAAATTCAGAAGAAATGCACATCTAACAAATTATGCACTGATTTGCATGTTCATGAGGGAAATAAGTATTTGATCC